ATTATTGAAGGCTGCTGCTTACTGGCTTAAAAGTATCACTTAAAGCGCTGCTGCGCATGTACACTGCAGAGAGGACATGTCGGGCCTGGTATTCAATTACTTGGACTGAAAAGCTTTCAACTACTTCCGAGAATGACACTCTCTTCCTTCTGTCTATACTGTCTCGCTGCAGTGTGTCATCAGTTGCAGTTGTCTCCGCATATGCTTCTTGGTCAATAGCTTGCACGCATTCACCCTGATTCTTGTCCCCTTGTTCCTCCTCTTGCTGCTGCTCCTGTACCTGTTGCTCCTGCTGCTCTGTCTCCTTGTAGGAAGACCCAGGGGCAACTCCCATGAGCAGCTCGCCCGCAGCAGCAATCAGCGTCACGCCTGCTGCAGGCAGTACAACACCTGCACTTAGTTTCTGCGAAAGAGAGCCTAAGGGCCTCATCCACAGGCTGTCTTCTGCTGTCAGTCCGTACACCGCATCGCCCACTGCTAGCTGCACGAAGTCGTTGCGTTCCAGTGGCACCGGGAGGTTGCCCTCAGCACCCCCCCACATAAAGAAATCGCCACCAGCTGTGGCGGCTACTGACGCGTCCGACGCTAGCACCAGCACAGTGCGCTGGCCCCCAAGCTCAGAGACCTGCAGTCCCACATGCCATGTCACGTGCACGGAAGGCCCAGAGTAATAGAGGCCGAGGAAGTTGCGTAGTAGGATTGCAGGGCACCGCCGCTTTTCTTTTTGGCCATGCGGCGGGCTTTCTCATACGGATAAAGACAAAAAGAACTAGGGACAGCAAACTGCGGAAATCATGCCTTCGTGGCTTACCACTTGAGGAGTCCAGCGGTCATCGTTGTGGCCTAACCCGAGCTGTCCGAGATTGTTCCGTCCCCATGTGTACGTACACCCTAGATCTGAAGCCACCAACCGCACACACAGAAAACATTTCGACCGTATATCTCTGTATAAGCCTGAATTGCCGTGGTTGCTGCTGCACGAATCTATCTCGTTCTCCCGTTTCGTCTCCCCGCCTGTTCCTTATGCTTATTAAAGACCGCTTCTGCTTTGACTTTATTGCCCTCTATCGCTTCGTTTGCCGCCTGCTGACCAGTGACTGCGATTGCATGGTGCCTTCCCGCAGCTACAAACCCAACTTTTCTGTCATGAAATTTAACTTTCGTCGGAGTCCAGCGAGCTGCAGAGGAACTCTTCACATCAGCCGGAGGAACTCTTCACATCAGCCGGCGCAATGATCTCAGCGGTACCAACAGCCACTGCAATTGCTCTTTAGGCAGTGCAGTAGCTTTTCTTACTCGAGACAGCATCTGTTCCTAATACTCCGTAGCTCCCATCACCGAATGAGTACAGCTGCCCATCATCTGAGGACAGAGGAGCGAAGACAGAAAACAAATGGCTCCTGCTGCTGCTGCTGACACTGCTGCCTCTGCTGGGGCTAGTGCATTTGCTTGCACTTGTGCAAGCAACTGCATCAGGGGCTTTTCTTAGAGCAGCTTTGCTGATTTGAGAAAAGCCCAATGCAGTAATTCACCTGTGAGTATGAGAGTGAAGTTGGCGCCGCACGCTGCTTGCCGCGCCTGCCTCGGGAACAGCACCTCATCAGGTCCCCTGCAAAGGGAGCAAGATGCACAATATCCCATTATAAACTACCTATACTATAGAGGCGTAGGGTATAGATTATGCATAGTGCTACGCTGAGGAGAAGGACTGTCGTACCCGTGTTGCTGCCCGTCTGTGACCTTGCCGCTTCCTCTTTGGCCTCGGTCTCCTCTGCCGTACGTGAAGACACGACCTTCAGCTAAGAAGACCAAAACGCACATAAGCAAAAAGTGTCGACGATTACAGGTCTTCCTCTGTATTTGTCGTTGCTTTGCCCCGTCTTTTGTGTGGATACATGCATGTGGGCCCAAACATAAGAGCAGCTACTTATTTCAGCATCAACGGAGCCCTCAAGTTCTCACGCCCAAGACAGGAATCTCTAAATTTATGTGCACCCTTGGAAGTGTAGATTTAATAGTAAGCCCTAAGTTAAGAGGCTTCAAGACAGGGCACACACCAGTAATGCATGCGAGGTGACTCTCCCCACAAGCGACATCAACGACAGTCATTTTGTCTAAGTTGCGGCCCTCTAACAGCTGAGGGCTGCATGCATGCATACTGCCGCATTGACCCCAGTTCCAGCAGTACAGGCGGCCGTCATCTGCAAAATTCGCACGCATCGGTAAGGTACTGGAGCTAGCGCTGGAACTGTAATGCCTGGTGTTGCTGATATGGCTGGCGCTCCCATAGTGGCTACTGTAGTCTTTGCTGCTGCTGTTGATCATGCTAAGATTTTTTTGCATTTTTACCTGCGATGAATGCAGCTAGACTCGTGCCACATGCAAGTTTCGTAATTCCCAAGTACGAGCGAAATCGCTGGGGACCCATCAGCGCACAGCGCTTTTCTCGGAACTGTTGAATGGACCAAAAACAGACCCAACTCCCATCTTCAACAGCAGCTTCTGTAAAGAGTCCAGCCAAAGAAGATGAAGCAAGAACTAGGAAACATAACAGCTGTCGTAACGTAAAGAGAGAGACTATGTGCTGCCTGCACGTGTCCGCTGTTAAGTGTCCAATCAAATGCCAGCTAGAATTTGCCTACCTTCGCAGTTGCGCACTTCTTCTTCCTTAGGGCCATGCTGCTCTGTGGGTTGTGGTACTGCAACAGCTGCACCGGGTGCTCCGCCAGCAGTTTGTTGAAAGCTGTGCTGATAAGGACTGCCGCCCCAGTGCCAAGAAGCCGGTACCAAGGGCCCCCTGAGGCCCATTTCGGTCCCGGCCATTTGTTGAAGATATCTGTATCAGGGCGAGGCTCAATGTATTGAAATATTCAATGTTTTCGTCACCGTCGACTCAAACACTCACGCAGAAAAAGCGGCATGAGCTGCTCGTGAGACGGCTGTAAAAATCATTCCCCTTTTCTCGCACAGAAAAATGGAGCCAGCTTTAAATAGAAGAAGGAAACTCCTTGGGGATCAAGAAAAGGTCGGCAGATATGAGGACACCAGGAATAGTGAGTGGCTGGCATGGAGAACCCGGTCAGACTGCAGTGTCTGTGGCATCCCCAAGCGCTGATCTAGAGGATTCAGACAACAAATTTTGTGAAATTTGGCATTAAAACAATAGTTGAAGCTACGGAATTGAGGGGAAAAGTGTGATAAACGAACAGCGGCTATTGCCGATGGCCTCGGATGACCAGGGGCCCCAAGGACAACTCTGTGGCCTCTCCGGGCGATATGAAGAAACTGCCCCATTAAGCATTTTTCCAGTGTTAACCAGCATTATTAAAAATGTCACATTAAAAACTGCAGCAATGATGCCGTCTGTTGCTCAATTCTCTAGGACTTGCTCGTGATCTGCGTGGTTGGTCCACCCAAACGCTCGCACTTGCGTCCAGTGTTCAGCCATGTCTGCCCTTCACAACGAGGCTTTTCCTCTCCATTAAGCAGGCGAATAAGCAGTAATTGCGTACACATATGTAGACGCAGCCTTAGGGCACCGTGTTGTGGCAAGAAAAAGACAACCGTGTGCGGAGTCCGGGCCACACAGCGCGACCTGTCGGCCGCCGCCGTGTCCTACTCATTTATTTGCCTAATAAGCTACACCACCACCTTTCCATAATTAGAGCTAAATCTTGAAGCAAGTGAAGGAAAGTTCCAGCAATGGAAACCTCGAAACTACTATTACTACCTCGAGCACTCCACCAAAAACTTGAAACCACTAAGCACTGAGAGCTCTACCCTCCCCACCATAAAGAACATGGGAAATAAATCATGAGTTTATTTCTATTGCCCTCTGATTAGTTCTGTAGACGATACTTAGTAGAACAGCTACCTGCGCCTGCTACTTTAACGCCGAGTCTGCCTCGCAGATTGGATGATACGTGGCGCGTGTGGCGACTGTTCTAGCCACTCCTCTCCTAGAGCTGTGAAGTGCAAACGACAGGATCAACCACCCGTACCTCTCAGACTAGACTACGGCGACGAAAAAAATGTAGAGAATATTGAACCTGATATGTCACCGTCTTACATGCTCTCGACATGAGCTGTCGCTGCCTCGTTAAGTACAACTCAGCTTTGGATTTGTGGAGCCTTCTCGATTACTCATTTGTAGATGTGACGAACGGATAAAAGCCGCGAACCTGACTACTCCTGAATACTTGGCGTCCCAGCACAAAGCTGTGAAGGGAACGGTACAAAAGCCCGGGTCCCCAATATTCGTGTGTGTGTTCGTGTGTATCAACTCTGACTATAACATATGAGATACGCTTTCCCGCTCACTAAGCTTCCAACCAACCCCGAATTTGTGTTCTTCCTACACGCTGATTCCTCCCATAGACGTAGCGGAATACGTTGCTCTACAAGTGGAATGCCGTGGGCAGCTCACGGAGGGAGCCTAACTTTATGCTGCCACACAAAACCTACAACAGCTAAGCAATGAAAGGACTGACATACAAATGAATACAAAGGGACATCTGTCCGGTGCAGTAAGACTCACAATGTCACTGCTTGTAACCTCTGCTACCTGCGTGAGCTGCTCTGCCCCGAGTGGGCCTCTGAATCAAGCAGGAGACGCCTAGCCTTCGAAAATCTCACTGACGCATCCAACCAATCACCACATGAAGCACTACTGAAGAAAGTGATACGCGTTTTTCTGTTCATAGCTTGCCTAGTTGCGCAGCGATCTTCGAAAGGAAGCGATACGACAGGAAAATCTGTATTGCGCACAACTGATGCAATACTCCATGAGCAAATGATCGCAAATTACAGTGAACAGCTCTTGCTGACGTGCTGCAGCGAAATTCTTCACGTGAGCACCCAGCAAGTGGATCCCCACTCCGTCACTTGCAAAGCACAGAGACTGAGCCATATTCAGCAGAACTAAGAATACCATGAAAGTTGGTCATTCACCGCGAACTCTCCCACGTGGTTTGGTGTGCACCGTCACCTCCCTGTTGCAACTACGGCCGCACTTTGTCAAGGCATTCCCAGTCTAAAATTGAGTTTCCACGAATGACTACCATTCCCAGCTCGTTCCTTTCCACCTGTTTGGAGCCAGGCCTTCCCCTCAGCTCCAGCGCGTTGTCCAAAACAACATTCATGAAAGTATCGTACCCCCGCATCACGCCGACGACACGCCGGCCCCCGCTGAGGTGAACTGCGGAAATACAGAGAAAACGAGTTTAATAGCACTCAAACACCCCTATATTAAACACGGAGCCAAAACTCGCGACATGATATGGGTTTCTCTATGGCAGCTTATGCAGAACTAGATAGCGCGAGGGTTACCATATATGTGTTTGGCGTACCATCCAAGCGCTTCTCCATGAAGCGGCGAAGGTCCGCAGGAGGTCCAGCCTTGCCGATGACGGACGGCATCTTCAATTATTTGAAAAAAATAGCTTTGAGTGCTAGTGGTGCCCTCCTCTTTTTAGCTTTGCTGCAACGGCTCCTGCTCTGGGCGCCTCCGTGTACAGGCAAAAGCGTCTTATCCTGTCCTGCGAACGTTAAATTCACTTTTCTTCCCACCCTGCTAAACAAAACGGAGAACAGAAACTGCGGGAGGAAGCAAGAAAGAAGAAGCTGCCCACTTTCCCACAGCGAAGTTCAGGGGGACACGCGCACCAGTTTCCCACAACGGGGTCGAGGAGGACACGCTCCCAAGAGTCCTACGTTCGCCCGCAGGGCAGCCGGGAAGCAATGATAAAATACGACGTAAAGCTTAGGTAAGTAAACCGAACAAAAATGAAGTGGTCAGAGGCCGCAAGTGACGCAGGGTAAAGGCATGACAAGCAAAGGCCCCGTCCTTTTTTGTCTGCATGCGAGAGCGCGCACGGTGAGAGACTGAAGGTGGGGAAAGTTGCTCGGTGCATTCTAAATTTCTTTCCTCCCATTTTCTAACTTGCTACATATTGCTTATTTAGCGAGGGAGAAGACGGGTGTGCCGCAAATGTTTTCGTCTTCTCTACAACGCACTCCCGCGCTGGTCGAGCAGATCCTGCCCTCCTCTACGCTTCCCGCGCTTGCGTCGCTGATCAAACGGAATAAAATTCGTCGTTTTTTCAGCTTTCTTCTTGACGCAAACTAGAGGCCGCCCCTTCTGCAGCTCGCGGCGCCCTAGCGCGCTGCGAGCTGCAAACTCCTGAACTGGAAACGCGGCAATCCCCAAGTCCTTCATTTCTTGTTTGTTACGGGGCTTATCTTTGCTTTATTTACGGCCTCAGCTCGCTGTATCTCTGCTTGCAATTCTCCGGGGTCTCCTGTGCCCTCAACAGGCCTTGCCTGTTTGAGGCTTCGTCATTGGCGTTCGCCTGTTGCTCAATTTGGAGTAGCACAATGGCGACACTCTCTCTGGCCACGCCGTATTCCCCTTGCCCGTATAAGCGGGTTGGGGCGATTCAATTCGGAGTGCTGAGCGCCGAGCAGATCCAGCGCATGTCTGTATGCGAAATAACGAGCGCGGAGCTCTATGAACAGGGGCTGCCAAAGGCAAACGGTCTAAATGACCTCCGTCTCGGCACCTTGGATTATCGGCTGAAATGTCAGACCTGCTTCATGGATGTCAAGAACTGCCCAGGCCACTTTGGCCACCTCAACCTCGTCAAGCCCGTATACCACTACGGCTTCATAGGGGCAGTTTTGCGCGTACTCCGTTGCGTCTGCTGCTCATGCGGTCGCCTTCTTGTCTCCCGCAACGATCCCAGACTTCAGGCAGCAGCGCAAGTAAAGGCTCCTGCGAAACGGCTGAAGAGGCTGGTGGACCTATGCGCGGGGAGGAGGAGGTGTGACATGGAAGATGATATGTCGGAGGAGTCTGCGGGCGTGGGTGGTGGCTGCGGCTGTCTGCAGCCACGCTACTTTAAAGAAGGGCCTAACCTGATGGTGGCATTTCCAGAGAAGAAGGGGGGTGCGGAAGGAGACGAAGAGGCCCCTGAGGACCTGCGACGTGTATTGGTCCCTGAGGAGGCGCTTGCTATCATTAAGAGGGTGCCCGAACAAGACATACGTTTGCTGGGCTTCGACCCTGAGAGAGCTCATCCGGCGTCCTTTATTCTCAGCACTCTACCCATTCCCCCACCGGCAGTCCGCCCCAGTGTGCAAAACGGGAACACCAGGAGCGAAGATGACTTGACGCTGAAACTTGTAGACATTGTCAAGACAAACGCTTCGCTCAAAAGACAGGGAGACTCAGTACCTTCGGCTGTTCTGCAGGAAATGAATCTGCTGCTGCAGTACCACGTTACCACCTTTTTCGATAATGACATTCCTGGGGTCCCAGTAGCGACTACGCGCTCCAAGAAACCCATCAAGGTGCGAACACGAGCTAGCAGTACGCATCATCTCCAGGCTGTCAACAATGAGGCGTGTTGGCTATCTCTGTGCCAGATGCTGTTGTTGCGCGATGTTCGCTCTAGGCTCTTCGGTCACGACTTAAAGGGAAGGAGGGCCGACTGAGAGGGAACCTGATGGGCAAGCGCGTCGACTTCTCCGCGAGAACTGTTATTACTGGTGAGCTTAGCCCTTTGATGGCTGAAGAAGAGTTTGACTACAGTGATAACACTAGTTGCTTCAGTGGGTGCTGTGAGTAATGTCACTGCCCAGATGGATGGGCTACGGATTTTTTTCGCGCTTATTTACCGACGGTGTAAAGGACCCGACGATGCGTTTGAGAGTTCCATGAGTGCTTTGCGTGTAGCATCCAGGGCTCGTTGCTCAGGGGACTGTGAACTTTTACATTGAGTTGCATTAATCACTTCACGAGCAATTCATTTGTTCCCTATCCGCCGCTTGCAGTTGCCTTGTTGCCTTCGTGTTTTCAGGCGACCCGAATCTACCTATCGACGTCGTGGGTGTGCCCAAGAGCATCGCGATGACCTTGACCTATCCAGAATTTGTGACGCATTTGAACATCAACAAATTAAAGGAACTGGTGAAGAAAGGGCCATTAGAGTGGCCGGGAGCAAAATATGTCATTAGAGAAGATGGGACGAGGTAGCTTATGCCCACAGCTCTTTTTTGTGCGGCTCCGAATATATCCCAACGGTCAAACATTATGGCTTCAGGAATCATGTGTAATCAAGATGTTAACACACACGCGTGGCTGCGTTGTGTTATTTTTGTGTGCTACCCTTTGGCTGCCCGGCCATTCTTTGACTGGTTGCCAACGACACTGGAGGTGCACTTTTAAGTTAGACAATTGAATGGTTTCCTTTCCCACAGGTTTGATTTGCGGCATGCAAAGAAAGGAGGGGAGGTGGCGCTCGAGGTTGGGTACCGCGTCGAGCGGCACATGCAAGACGGAGACTACGTGCTATTCAACCGTCAGCCCTCTCTGCACAAGATGTCCATTATGGGACACCGGGTGCGGGTACTGCCGTACTCGACTTTTCGTTTGAATCTGTCGGTCACTTCACCGTACAACGCAGACTTTGATGGGGATGAAATGAATCTGCACTTGGCACAAAGCGAAGAGACAAGAGCAGAAATAAAGCATCTCATGCTTGTACCCAAACAGATTGTTTCACCCCAAGGAAACAAACCCGTCATGGGAATCGTGCAGGTATGCCTGCGATTTCGGTTTTCCACGTCCCGGCGTGTAGGCTTCCATGTGATGCTCAGTGACGCAGGCAGCATAGACGAGGTGAACTGCGCATTACCCGTTATTGTCACTGTCTTCTTAGTCATTTCGGTTGGTACCCTTCGATTTTGCTCAGGATTCCCTATTGGCCGTCAGCAAGTTCACTCGCCGCGATACGTTTTTGACGCGCCCAATGGTGTTCGACTTGCTGCTTCAAATCCCATATTGGGATGGCATTGTCCCTTCCCCGGCAATCCTCTGTCCCGAACCGCTGTGGACGGGCAAGCAGTTGTTTTCTTTGCTGCTTTGCTTCAACACGAGCACAGGTGGTGGCGGTGCCAATACGCGGATGCGGATCAACATGATGAGGGATGTAGGCGGGCTCGTGGACCGGAAAAAGGAGAACTTGTTTGTTTCAGAACGGGACGAAAGGGTTATTATTCGCCAAGGGGAGCTTCTTGCGGGAAAGATTTGCAAGAAGACCGTGGGATCTTCCAGCGGCTCCCTTATTCATCTTCTTTGGAACGAAGCGGGGCCTGAGCGTACCAAAGACTTCTTGGGGGCACTTCAGAAACTGGTGAATTTTTGGCTGTTGCACCAGGGATTCACGGTGGGCTGCAGCGATATCATTACTTCCCAGGAGACGTGCAAGAAGGTTGAGGAGATCTTGAAAGAGGCTAAAGACGAAGTAGCTCACTTAACGCGTCTTGCTCACCAGGGAAGGCTGGAAGCTCAACCGGGTAAAAGTCTGCGTGAAAGTTTTGAAGCACGTGTCAACAAAGAACTCAACGCCGCCAGAGAGAAATCCGGGAAAATCGCATCGGAACAGCTTGATGAATCCAACAACATCATGGCAATGGTACTTCTTTTGTGCCTTCTCTCTAGCTCCTTGCGGACATATGTCCACTTCAGTACTTACGAGGGCCTTGCAGAGGCTCTAGACCCCTTGTGTTTGAGACAGTCAATGTGTCTTACTACGATAATTTACGCTGGGTGCGCGAAGCAGTTTTTTACACGCGTTCACAGCTTCGTAGTTCGTCGTGTTCCATGTGCTTTTAGGTGCTAGCTGGATCTAAGGGGAGCACGATTAACATATCTCAAATTATGGCATGCGTGGGTCAGCAGAACGTGGAGGGAAAGCGTATTCCTTTCGGCTTCAATAATCGGTCACTGCCGCATTTCAGCAAATTCGACTACTCTCCTGAAAGCAGAGGCTTTGTCGAGCACAGCTATCTCACAGGACTACTGCCACAGGAGCTGTTCTTTCACGCCATGGGTGGTAGAGAAGGTATCATTGATACTGCCTGCAAGACTTCAGAAACTGGGTGAGTCTGGATTGATCTAATATTTGTACGCTATAGGAGGTTTGGAGCTTAGCAGTTGCGCTTGGAAGCGTAGGCCCATCCATGAATATCCACGTAGTCGAGCATCCATAGTGTATGGGTTCCCGCATGTGTCAGACTGTCTGCGTCAGGTACATCCAGCGCCGGTTGATGAAAGCAATGGAGGACGTGAAAGTAAGTTACGACAGAACCGTGCGTAACAGCGCTCAGGAGGTTTTACAGTTTTTGTATGGTGAGGATGGCATGAGTGGCGAGTTCGTTGAAGACCAAGTTATAGAGTTGATGCAAATGGATTCGGAGAAGATAAGGCGCGTGTACAAGCATCATTTTGATCAGGAAAGCTATGGAAAGGGATGGATTTTAGATGAGGAGCTGCGCACTCGCTTGTCCGTCGATTTCGCGGCCCAGCAGGTCCTAGAAGATGAGTTTGAAACTATAAAAGAAGATAAATTACGGCTCTGCAAGACGATTTTCCCAGATGGGGAAGTCAAGCAGCACATTCCAATCAACATCATGAGACTAGTCGAATTCGCAAAGGCACAGTTCCCAGCCTCTGTGGAGCAGCTGCGGAAGCAGGACCCTGTTGCGATCGCAAAGAGCGTGCAGGAGTTGCTGAACGAGAAGCTTGTTGTCGTCAAACAAACGTGCAAGGCGGATACCATCTCAGCAGAGGTGCAGGAGAACGCCACAATCTTTATGAAGGCACACCTGAGGACCGTTCTCAACTCCAGGCGTCTACTTGAAAGGGAACAGCTTGGGGCGAAGGCTGTCCACGTAGGCGAACTTGATATTTTTTTGTACATTTCTGTAGACTAGGCATGATGAGTAGGGCTGTTTTCATTCGCTTGTGGATACACATGCATTTGCGCATGCACACACGCATCTGCGCGTGTAAGTAGTTGTGTTCAGCTCACAAGTGCCTCATGTGAGGCATCACGTGCGCTCTTTGTGTGTAGTGTTTGTTGCTGCTGTATTAGTGGTTGCTAGGTGAAGTGGAGCGTCAGTTTCACCGTTCTCTAGCTCACGCTGGGGAATGTGTAGGAGCCATTGCTGCCCAGTCTATTGGAGAACCTGCCACGCAAATGACGCTGAACACTTTTCACTTTGCGGGTGTCGGTTCTAAGAACGTAACGCTAGGTGTGCCTCGGCTGAAGGAACTGATAAATGTCGCGAAAACCGTCAAGACACCTAGTTTGACGGTCTACCTTCTCGACGAAGGCGCCTATGACCAGGAGAGAGCCAAAGACGTGCAGGTGAGGTTTGAGCATGGGTCCCTTTCATAGTTTTCTTCGTGTTTTGTTGCAGTTTATTTTTTTCCATTTTCCTTCTGCGCGCGTCCGCGTTCGTTTAGTGATTCTTGTGCCATTTTCTCACTTTGTGTGTGTTTCACGCTAGACACACTTGGAGCACACGACGCTGGAGAAGGTTTGCACGATGGCACAAGTCATTTATGACCCTGATCCCACGAAGACGATCGTGCCACAAGACAAGCAGTGGGTGTCGGATTACTACGAGTTCCCGGATGACGAAGAATTACCTCAGAGTCTAGGCAGGTGGCTGTTGAGGGTGCAACTGGATTCGAAGGTGATGATTGACAAGAAGCTTACGATGAAGGAAATAGGTGAAACCATATACAGAGAATTCGACAATGATGAGCTGGATTGCATCTGGACGGATGACAACTCTGACGAGCTGGTGTTGAGGATACGCATCAAAAAGCACGGGCAAGAACAAGACCCAAACAGTGACGACCAGTCCTCGGAAATCGAAAATAGGTTCCTCCAGAAACTCATGCTGCACTGTCTCGTTGGCATTACTCTAAGGGGGGTCAGCCGCATTACCAAGGTGTACATGCGGGAGGAGGCGAGGACACTGTATAACGAAACAACTGTACGTCGGTAGCAGGCCAGTCGGTTGCACGCGGTGGGCGTACGTACCCATGGTGCTACGAACAGTGCTGAAGTGCTTTTTGAGTGCATATAGGCTGACTACCTTGGAGTTTTTGGGCTGCGCTGTCATTTTGCATGTGTGTACGCTCGTGGTTTTGTTCTACGATCATGTGAGACATTTATTCCCGCAGCCGTTTATTTTGCCTGTCTTCTTGTCAGGGAAAGTTCGAGCGCGTTAACAACTGGGTACTGGACACTGATGGGTGCAACCTGGACGAGGTTCTGACGTGTCCCCGCGTCGACTCAACACGCACGACCAGCAACGACATAACGGAGATCTTCGACGTGCTGGGCATTGAGGCTGTGCGCCGTGCGCTTCTGAGGGAACTCAGGGCTGTCATATCTTTTGACGGGAGCTACGTGAACTACCGTCATCTGGCGATATTGTGCGACACGATGACACAAAAGGGCTACCTCATGAGCATCACTCGACACGGAATCAACAGGGTCGAGAAGGGGCCCCTGAAGAAGTGCTCATTCGAGGAAACGGTGGAAATCTTGATGGAGGCGGCAGTGTTTGCGGAAACTGATCATCTGAGAGGAGTGACGGAGAACATCATGCTAGGTCAGCTGTGCCCCTTGGGGACAGGAGATGTTGACTTGCTCATAGATGAAGAGAAACTGAAAGACGCACACAGAGCTGTAGAGCCGCAACAAGATCTAGCCCTTGAGGGTTTAGCCTCACCTGGCGGGGCTGACGGCATGTCGCCCGACGGTTCCGGCACGCCGTCGCCGCACAACGTGACTTCGGTCTTTTCGCCAATGCCATTCTCAACTGTATATTCTTCCTTCGCGCAATCTCCATCGAACCCTCTCTCCCCCACTTCTCCGTCAGCAGCTGATGGTCGCCTCATTGACACCCAAGCACTGGGCGGAAAATTCTCACCGCCTCAGCAGACACCTCGTTCCCCTACATCCCCCATGTCTCCTCTTTCTTGCTTTTCTCCACGCGAGGCACAGAATCCCATGTCGCCTATAGGCCAGGGTTACTTTTCGCCGGCGTCTCCAGTCGTTGGGGGTGCGATAGAAACGTTCTCCCCGTCTTACTCCCCGTCTTCTCCTCTTCAGAGTCCGTACTACCAACCGAACACCAGGGATGCAGATGGTGCGGGTAACGTAGCATCTCCGTCTTACAGCGCTTCATATTCTCCAACATCCCCAACTTTTTCACCGGCCTACTCACCATCCTCTCCGGCCTCGTACTCGCCCACATCGCCTGTCTATTCGGCCGTGGGCATGAACCCTACCTCCCCTCTTGTAGGTGCCCCACTAGCCCCATTTTCTCCGAACCAGAATGTCGCTTCTCCGTCGTATTCGCCCACTTCGCCGGCATACTCGCCAACGTCTCCTTCGTACTCCCCCACCTCACCTGTCGCGGACCCCGTCTCCCCCACCTCGCCTGCCTACTCACCCACTTCCCCACGCTACTCTCCCACATCCCCCCGTTATTCTCCAACCTCGCCGGTGTACTCCCCACAGTCGGGGGGATACAGCAACGTCAACTCTCCAGGCAAGGGCAGCTCATTATATCTCCACTGAATTCTAGAAGCCTATTGTATTCCGTTTCTGTAGAACAGTGTGCGTTACACGCCTGAGATATACAGCTTCCCAGTTCATCCCTACGTCGACTCGCCTTCGTAAAGCTGCTTTTTGATTTACTTATTGGCGTGTCTACGAACGATTGATGCAGCTTACTCAGTGCAGTCGCCACGCTACTCACCTACCTCGCCTGTTGCGTACTCTCCCACGTCTCCGGTGGCCGGAGTTGCATCTCCTTCTTACGGCGAGGGCGCACAGGAGTACTCGCCTACTTCTCCAGCGTATGAGCCTGCAGGTTTGTACATTTAGCTCATTAATGCAGAGACTGGCCCAATTTTGCATTATTTTCGTTGTGCTTCCTAGAACAAATCTGTCAGGAGACGCTGGAGCTAAGAAGACGGCTTTGTTGACGACCGAGAAGCGAGTTGTGGAAACAAAATATATTCGTGTTGCAAAATTGTTGGTTCTTCAGATCCTTTTTCTCCGAATCCATTCGCGACTGAGGTCGCTCAAGACGTGGAAGTCACAGAGGAAAACGCAGAGGGTTCACCTGAAACTGGGTCAGGTGGGGCGGTTTCGTAGGCTCCATATATGTGGAACCGGTTCCACAAGAGATATCCAAAGGAGCACAGTGGCATGCCCAACGTTTCGCTATTCACTGGAACAGTCGGATAGGGGCAGCGTAAAGTGAAGGTGATGGGTCTCCCTTGGAAGCTGCTGCCAAATGCCAGCCATTCGTGGGTCACTGCCGAGATCCACGTGATTTTTTTCAATACTTGAAGGACTCCTTGTTTTTAAGGAGCCCAGCGCGGATTTCTGTTGCTTTGGCACGCACAGTTCTTGCAGGAGCTGTACACAACGTACATATTTGTCTGCAAGCAAAATGCATGTAGATACACGTACCGCAGTACAAAATAATTTTATGCATACGGAGGCACAAGGAAGCATTTTTATTTTCCTTGTACGTGACCGCGCAAGCGCGTTAGCTGGCGAGCAGACGAACTTTGCGTGCAAGTTAGTCAATCTGTGCGTAACAAGTTCCCGCGTTACTGTATTTTCTACGCAGCAAGAAAACGTCTGTAGCTCTTTCGTCGAAGTGCACGCGCAGTGCACGCGTGCAGATATCACTGCGCTGCCACCTAGCCTCTACACAAGGGCGGTCAATGCTCCGTGACTTTTGCACATTGCAGAGCACTGGTGCATTGCTACTCCATACTTTCATTGTATTCAAGTCGTTGCCTACGTATCTCCTGCTCTTCTCATTGGACTCGCCGTGCTAGGGGCACTCCAAAAAGATTTCGAAGCAACAAATTAGTATTAATTCGCAGTGCAGTACAAAAAAAAAACGTAGCGGCGACAGTGGCTTGTTTCACGTCGCGTGAATGCGCTATTTGGGCTGGGGGGGGAAGACGTGCACGTGGAAACTTCACAGATTCACGGTGCAGAATATATGCGTGTACGGAGACACGCTCGTGCATCCATGTGCATTATATATGTGCGTATGCATGCACGTACGTGAGCGCAGATGCACGCATATGTGCACATTGAAACTGGAATATATGCTTATGTGTAAGTAAGCACGCCTACAGACGCACGCACGCCGTCGATTACGGAGCCAACTAGGGAACTACTTCACTGTAGAAGTTGACACTGCACAGCACGCTGACCAACGGTGTATTGATAAAGTAGATAATACACTATTTGGTACCCATCAATAGAAGCTGCAGCCAACAGCGACTGCTGCAGTCACGAGCAGCTACTCCAGAATCGCGAATTTATGCAGGCGATTTCCCATGCGCGACTTTGCATTCTTTCGCGTTAATTGCATATATCACTCAGCTTCCCTCGTTTTTTTTCTTAATCGGGGGCAGGCGTACATGTCGGTAGAAAAAGTTGCGGATGCATTTTAGTCAGGGCCGCAGAGGTTTGCGCCTCTGGTCCAAACAACCGAATTGGTGGGGACATTACTCGAGCACTGTTTGTTACCGATTACGGCAGGGCAGCCCATATACACTTCCCAATCGTTCCACGCACCTCAGCCGCCTATGCGCATCCGAACAGTGCCATCGGGCGGAACGGGTCTGCTGCAACGTTTCAGTGCCTAGACAGCGTTAGGCTCACTACACATATAGATGCGTAAAGTATTTTAGTCCTGAACACGCAGAGGAAGAAGGCCAAAACGGGGAAACGAGAGAGAGCAAGGCAAGCAAACACATTCAAACGGGACAGCACCTTATAGGCTACAGATGGAAGGTCTTCTCGGTATAGCAGCAACATTGGGTGATGTGCAACTCTTGGAGGCGCCGCGAATTTGAGTTCGCAACAGGCAATGCAGAGCTTCATACACTGCCAAGCAGTCCTCTAAACGAAGCTCAAAGTCCTACACGCAAAACCGTAAACCCGATGGATGAAACCTCATGCGCCTGATTTTCAAACAACGATTGCTGCGCACATGCATGATATGGATTTTCGCTGTTTGTACAAGACACAGAGACACAAGCCTGCAGCGGGAACATTACTTGGAAGGGTACAATGAGTTCTTGCTTATCTCCTACTACAATAGCCACGTGATATGCGACGCGGTAGACGTGGACTTCCTGCGCAAACACCAGGTAATGTACACCCCAAGCCCTGCAGCCAAATCACACTGTAAACACCACAGCAGAGTCCTTGTATGCATGAAAAAGGCAAAGGCAAGCGACAGGCACGCTCAAACAAAGTAAATCAACCATGGCTTTAAGACCAATGCGCACGAAATTCATGTATCCGTGCAGAGAAGCGTTAAGGCATGACAGCAATTCCAGTTTTGGCCTGCACGCACACGTGATCTGCGCGTGCATGCACGCACCTACACCTGTTTTTCTGCTCCTAAGTAGAGGGCAGTAGAGCAAGGATAGACTAAATCGAATTCTAGATCCTCGGCCCGGCAGTAAGCACATGCACGTGCAGGCACTGACATTTTTGCGTGCACTGGCATGCACACATACATTCACTGACAGCGTGAATACTGTTGTTCGCAGCTGCATGAACCGACTAGAATGGATCTGCGCATGGGCTGGCAATATTGAGACACGTAGGCATTCTGTATCATGCATGCATGCGATGCCTTGGAAATTCCAACCTCGCTGATGATTACGTCTTTGACTTGACTCATTGGTACAAATCGCCTAGAAGCTCCAAAGAATTTCTTGAAACTCCACTGCACGCCGAAGTCGCCTATGATGGTCAGGCGCTCTACATACAAAAACTTAAAACAAGGAAGCAGTTTTAAAATAAGTAACGAAACATGCGAGTCACTGAACTCGCACAGCAAGCACGGAGGCGTGCTGCTTGCATAAAAACACGCAGCACAAGGCAAGTGCCATTACACAAATCCACTCGACGTGCAAGCATCTGTATGTGAACAAACCTATACGTTAGCATGCCATATGGGTTTTTTTGTATAATGCGATTAAGAAATGGTGTGTGAGCGGCTGCAAGAGGTCGTACACAAAAACACGAAAGTGTACCAGTACATGCGAGCGTTCAAAATTACAGTACACGCACAGCAATGCTTTCGTCACCAGCCGGGAAGTCCATAGCCTCGCACAGCATGCGCTGCATAAAGAAACTGCCGCAAGTGCATACAATCAGTGTAATTCCAAAGCAAATAACCCAACCGTAGAGGCATGGACCAGGCAAATACACCTGCAGCAAGCCACCAAATGGTACAGTATACCCCACTTGCCTTCTCGCACGCGCACAAGTGCAGCGATAGCATCAGCAATAGGAATGCAGCTGAAGAAAGCGCCTAATAAAAATACAACTTGAGGCAACGGGCCCGTGATCGACCAACACTGCAAACGCCGCACAGCAGGCACAAACGCGCAAATGAGCGCACACCCGGGCGGCAGAAGAAAACACAATAGCCACAACAGCAGCTGAAGAAAAAGCTTGAAATACGTACGCAGCAAAGAGCGGAGAATACCAGAGAGAGGGGAAGAGCAGCACGCGCTACGCGCCACAGTTTGCCGTAAATATTGCGACTGGGCCTGGAGCCTTTCTTCCCCCTTGCCCCTTCCTTTTTTGGTGTTTCTGTTAAAGAAGTTGCTGACGCATTGGCACTGCTGCTACTGCTTCTGCTGGGCTGCAGCTCCTGGTGCTCAGCTGCTGCCGCGTCTGCATCAATGGGGTCGCTAAAAGCCGCAAATGTGCGGAAGCTGCTTCGCCAGGGCGACGCCCAGAAGATACAGTCATTCCTCTTTCTTATTTGCATGCAAAGGCAGCAGTAGAAACTTCGGTTTTCTGGTGCTATTGCTGCAGCTTCCCAGCAGCGGCAACTGCTGCACTCCCTGACCGCCTCCTCCACTGCCTCTGTCAGCAAAGGGATTTTCTTGGTCCTGCTGCACACTTTTAGTGCACGCTGCCGTAAGTATGAATCTGTTGTTACTGCTGCTCCTACTCGTGCTGCTGTTGGAGTCGTTCCTCCGCCTTGAGCACTTCCGCTTGCCGGTTCACCAGTGCAGGCTGGGCCCCTGCAGCAGCAGCAGCAGCAAGGTGAGCCCCCCTTTTCCAGAGCCATTGTGGGCTTTTGAAGACACGTAGTGCCAAGGGATATAAATTGAGAAGGCGCCTGCCACAACAACGCCAGCAGATTCTACACAACCCCCTGGAGGCTCCTAAGAGAAGACGTCACACGCCAGGAGCTCAATGGGGCTCCAACACTGAGCAGTGGTGGCCAAAATATGGGGAAAACCCTTAAAAGGCGCGCACATTCCTCAGGATAAGGAAAAGTTGTCGGGGAGTCGTTTGGGGGGCTCTTCTGCGGTCCACACGGGATTGCACTGTGCATTAGCAACAGTATGACTAAGTGAAATCCAGACACCTAACTTAAGCACTAAACAAAACTATATCAAAAACAAGCACAGATAGGGAGCGGGTTATGAACACTGCTTTCAGCATTTGCTCCAGCAAAGCCCTTCTCGGTGGTAACTGCTGGGGCTGCTTGAAACTCCAACGCACTGTATTGTTCGCATGAAATCTTAATTTTCTCATATATCGATACTTTCTGCTCAGCGCACTCGTTTAGACTAATGGTCACCCTTATGAGGGATACTGATACTCGGATACTGCCGGCACTGTGTCGTGTGTACAGCTGCCCGTGCATGCGTGCATGCGTCTGCGTGTCTGGGATTCCCAGCGTTAAATGATCGGTGAACTTAGCTATTACAAGGGATCTTTCAACAGTCACTTGGTGAGCCTTTCTTTCCTGCATATTCAATCACGTCAGTTGCGATACTTTACTGGGATGGGACGACGCAAGGGCAGGCTGACTCGTAAGTAGCTTGGGAACTCAAGAAGACTATGACAGAATGACGACGTAAAACATAAATGATAATGCATTCCTCAGCTACAGCTATGACAGTTGTACCCGCAAATGCAGCATGCAGCAGAGGACAGGGCACTGTCGGCACAAGGCAAGAAAGTCCTCCCCACGAGATTACTTCGTCTCCCAGCTCATCCAATAATCCTTCTAGAAGACCAAATCTGATTTTGGGAGAGGGACACTGTAAAGGCGTCCTAGACTACAGTAGTACAACATGCTGAATCCGTTGATGCAGGAGACCAACAGCTTGCTGAAAGTCCGAACGCATCCATTTTCTCCAGTGTGTTTGGAAATCCACATATGACTTTGATCCAGAAGACGAAACAGCAGAACTGGAGGTTGCAGCAGCTCATGGAAATGAGATAATGCCTGGTACAGCGGTTTCTTAAGCGTACGTCTCAGAAAGTAAGGACTGTTCTGCCTGTTGGGCGACGTATCTGGAACACGGAAGTTATAGTCCTGCGGCGGAAGTAACGGATCGCTGAGAGTACGACCATAGGCATAGTGTAGGCTCGCAGCACCCCACAATAGGCGGTAACTGCACCACAAACGGGCAGTCTTGCCTGCAGACTTACAGGGCAATAATTGATTCCGGCATAGGTTAACAGCTCCCTATCCGAGTCGTTCAAGGCCCGCTTACACAAATTAAATTAAAACGGTTAAAATAAGATCTACGCGTAAGCAAAGGGTGACCTGAACTAGATAAAGATAAGAGAACAGACGGCGTGAGTGAATCACTAGTTGAGGAAGCCAGTACTTCAACAGTTAGACTTTGTTGGTAAGCCATGCGGAAGTAATGCAATGTGGTGCCCCCTAGCTATAAAATAATCTTTACGGGCCTGTGGTGTTTGCTGCTGCTGCATGATATTTTGTAAGCACGAGCTCCTCTTGTTAGGGAAGGCTGTGCGGCTGGCATAGCTGTGCGATTTTGCGGAGAAATGTTCTTGAAGCTACGCCCAAGCCGCACAGTTCATGAATGAAACTTGGGCAGCATTGCGTGTGAGTCCTACGAATAATCAAACTGGGTGAATTACTCAGCGCGGCAGTCCCAGCCTCTCATGCGGAAGTGCTCTAAAGCAAGTAGCACTGAAATTAAAATAGGCTGCCTGTGCGTGGATGACTTTGGATGCTTCCGTTACCTCTTTATAGCCCGGAGGCCCTATATCTACACCAATCTAATTGGCTCCAGCTAAGCGGGCTGCACTTATTTTTCGGCCTGGTCAGGACGTGCTCCAGTTTCGAGATGGATTCCTGGGCTGAGTATTTCTACGGCGGCAGACGCTCCGGTGCATCGGCGATTGCGCATGTGAATCGCTGAGTTTCTTTCCCAGCACTACCTTTGTACCCCAGCACCATTTTGTGGACCCTGGTCGCTTATTTTTTCTGGCTTTAATGCAATGGAAGTCTTATTCAGATTTTGGAACGTTTTCACGCGCCGCCACCAAAATTACAGCAAGACCTTGCCAGCATACTCTGCAGAAGCAGCTTACCTGCTTGGGGAACCTTAGGCGGAGGGGTTTAAGCCAGTTTTGCACTGACTTTGCTTTGGATGAATATGGAAGTGGAAGCAGCGTTTTGCGCTCTCTGAGCACGTTCAAGGACCATTGTTGCACGTACAGTCTCATGGAATCAGCCGTGCACACCTCGACACGAAGGTCTTATGTAGCTGCTGCTCTTGCGATATATGTCTAGAGAGACGCACATTCGAGATGCGAAGCGAAACACAGAGAAAAGGCCTCTAACCACTATAATGACCAACGCCTAGAAATGGCACTCATAGGACGCCAGCCACAGTCGGGGCGGGAGACTGCGAGCGGCAGCTTGAAATAGCGATAAAATGGAGCAAGTAGGACATTTTTGGTTTTTTTCCTTCCTGTTTAGTATCTCGTTTCTTCAGAGCAGGACAATAGACATATCCGTCTTCCCCCAAGAAACAGAGCCGCGGAACGTGCGACGCCTATGTACTTTCATACTTGGGGAACGCCTTAGCATGTGGCGTCTACCCCCTTCTTTTCGCCAAAAATAGAAATGGCAGGAAAAAGCAGATGCTTAAAATCTCATATTAGGACCTTAACGAGATTAAATGGGCACTAAAGCACTTTACACGGAGAAGACACCCACCGCTGCCCCGCGCCCCCCACGCAGACCGGCTCAAATCCTTCTGCCATTTCCCAGTGATGTTCTGTAATTTTTTGCCCGTCTTACCTCTTCCATTAAACAGTTGAGCCAAGCAAAAAGGTGTGTATTCAGGGTTTGGGCAAAGGAGCTGGCTGTACAATCAGCCGTTCCAGGCGTGGAACAGCTGAGGTGTACGGGCTTCCACACTCAGGCTTTAGTTTCTTTCTTTTGTATTTCACCCAGGAACAGCAGCTCCAACTAATTCTGTTTGACTTTACTTAGATAGCAAAATCTTCTTACCTTTAGCAAGAGCAAGCGGGAGCAACCGCCGCTGCAGCCTCACGCAGCTCTGCTGAGGTCAAGGGGATAACGTTCGCAGTCTCTGCTGTTGCTGTTGCTCCAGCTCTCGCTACCGCTCCTATATTTGGCTGAACAGGTTTTTTTGTCGTATCTCTGAGCTGAGAAAGACATTAGAAGGGCGAGGTGAGACTGTCTCCTGCAAGCCTTCAGGAGGTTTCCAGCGGCTCCTCCAGTCCTCTTTGGCAGAGCAGCAGCAGCAGCAGCCGCTGCTGCTGCTGTTGCTGCCGCAACAGCAACGCCACCAAGAGCTCGATCAGAGGGTGCTCTGGTGGAGGCGGCAACGCTGACGAAGTTCGTAGCCCGGCACACAGAGCCCAGCTAACTACCTGGCGACAGCCGATGCCATCTGCGCACCAAACTGCAGCAGAAGCAACACAACCAAAAGCGGCAATTGCAGATCTTTTGTTGGTGATCCGTTGCGGCCGTTAGTAAATGATTTTCCCGCAGCAGCACCTGGGACGGGCGGGCACGAGAACTGTGGCAAGAGCATCCACCCCTGCTGCAATAGCAGCAACTGCTGTATAACAACAGGAGCAGCAGCATCAGCTGCTGCACCAGGAGTAGACACACATATTCGCGAGCATCAAATGAGTACAGGGATCCTTCAAGCAGCTACGGGAATTGCTCTACTTGCAGTTGCCGCCATCTCCTTTCAGGCCACCGGCAGCAGCAGCAGAAGCAAGCAGAGCAGCGAATCCACGAACCTCATTCAGTGTAGCAACGCCTGAAAAGAATGGATTTCGGGAGCAATCCAGGTGATGAGGGGGAGGCTTTGCGGATTCTTACAGAGGCTCTAGATCGCCACAGACAGCAGCAGCTTCATGAGCAGCAGAAGCAGCAGCAAGACGAGGCATTGCAGAATGATGGAGAGTCTCATGGGAACCACTACGAACAGCAGCAGCAACAGCAGCGCGATCTACAGCAGCAACAACAGGAGCAGCTTACAGAGCAGCCAGAATGGCAACCGCAGCAGCCGCAGTGCCGGCAGCAGCAAGAAAACACAGAGGAGAGCGTTGGAGCCCTTGGAGAACTGGAGCGAAGACTTCGTTCTCTTGGTGTCTTTGCAGGGCAGCATTTGCGAGCAGTTCAGCAGCAGCAGCAGCAGCAGCTTCAGCAGCAGCTTCAGAGGGAGGATCTCCAGCAACAGCTGCAGCAGCAACTGCACCGACAGCTGCTCCAGCAGCAGCAAGAAAAAACAGCAACTGTTGCCTCTCTTACCCCTCCTGGCTTTGAGGAAGCTTTTCAAAACTATGGCACAATTGGCAGGCCCAATTTGCAGCAGCAACAACAGCAACAAGAGGATGCGCGGTTGCTGCAGCTGAAGCAGAGACAATTCCAGCAACAGCTGCTGCTGCTGCAACAGCAACAACAGAAGCAGCAGCAGCAACAGCAGCAGCGAGGCACGGGGGAAGCACGACGCCGCGAAGTGCAACAGCCGTGGCTTGGGGAGGACGCCGACCTGCAGCAGCAGCTCTGGCAGCAGTACCTGCAACAGCAGCAACTGCAGCAGCAGCAAATGAGGCAGCAGTATCTCCAACAACGCCAGCTGCATCTGCAGCAGCAACAGCAGGAACAGCAGTGCTCGTTCCTGTCAGGCCTCGTTGATCAGCCGGACCCTGCTGCCTCTCGACAGCGGCAGCAACAAAAATCGCAGCGTTTTTTGCAGCAGCAGAAGCCCCAACAGCAACTTCGATTGCAGCAGGGGCTGGCGGGTGAGGGTTGTGCCTTAAATCCTGATGCTGCTGAGTTCGTTCCCTCACGTTTATTGCAGCAGCACTTACAGCAAGGTGTCATTGAAAAAGCAGCAGCAGTGCCAGCGAACATTCCTGCCGTACACCTCTGCTCTGTGGCAGATGTGGCGTGGGAAGAGGTTACTGTCTCGCAGTCGTCTCGCAGCGTTAGCAGCTTCGGCAACAATCCCTGCAACACAAGCGCGCAGTATGCTGCGTGCTCGTGTGGTTCGCTCTTCCGTTTACAACCGCAAGGTGACACATTCTCCATCTGCAAATTGGAAACTGGTAGGGGCCTGCTACTATTTTGTATCATTTGCTGTTCCTGTCACTGCAGTTGCTGGAGTGGGCTGTATGGAGTGTCTGGAGATAAATTCCATGATGCTTATTGCCCCTACAGTAATTTGTGCAAGCCGCTGGTGGTGTATTTCGTTGTAGGGTTTAGTGCCACTGTAGCTATTTTCGCAACATTGAACAACTATTGCATGACCGTCTGCTCCACGAACGCGGCTTGTCGTTCTAAAAACACCTGCAACAAACCTGGCACCGTACATTTGCAGCTAAATTCTTTTTCGTGGTTTAATGGTGCTGCTGCTAGTATGCTTTTGTTCTGGGGGTTGTCACTGCAGTGTCGTCGGCGGAGGGCCGGTGGGTGCTGCTACCAGTCAATTCTGGCACAGGACCGCCTGTGCGCGAGGTGACCTTTCTAGCGATATGCACTGGGGCAGCAACAACTGGGATAAAGGTCGCAGCGGCTGCTGCTAAAGATGCTGCAGAAGCCGCAAAGCCAGAAAAGGCTTCATGCTGTACAGACACGACAGCCAGTAGCGGTAATGGCGGAAGTAGCGTCACATCAAATACAAGCACTTCAAACATCAGCGACACATTAGGAGCAACAGCGGCACCATCAACAGCAGCGACTGCAGCTAGTGCAGCTGCTGATGGAGAGTGCGGAGACCTGAAAAACAGCGAAACAGAAGCACCAGCATCATTGGCGGAGCTTCAGCTCAACGAAGAGCAAAAGGAGGAGCGTCTTGAAGAGCACATGCTGCCCCCTTCGTCGGAGCCGTGCGCGGACAACCAGTTGTGCAGGAACAGCAGAAGTAGCAGCGCTAACAGCAATTTCCACGGATGCCGCCTTGCCGTTTTTTCTGGGCTCGACGCTACGGGGAGGCTTGAAGACGGCGGGATTAGTTTCTTTCACGTTGGTGCGTGCGTTAATGCGGCATTTTTTGCGGATTTCTGGCCAGTACTTGTGCTTCTGCTCGTGCTGTGGTTTCAGCCATCACTTCTGGTGCATCTGCTAGATATACTGACGGTCTTTGCGTTGGCGGATGTGAATTTGTTTGTTTGCTCTTTACTGGCAGGTCGTGGTGTCTGGGAACGACATCAGGTGCATTGGGGAGCATCCGCATCTTTGCAACAACATCACGGGCAACAGGAAGACTGGAAACAGAAGGAAGAGCAACAAGAACGATCGAGTCAGACGTGGGTGTACCAAGCTTCTTGCGACTCTCTCTTCTGCTTCAGCGCCGTCTCGGTCGGAGGCAGCAGTAAGCACAGAATTCGCAGCTGTATACGGAGCCCGCGCAAAAGGTTCCATTAGTGTCGTTGCATTCTTGTTTGCTGCGGATTTTTGCCTGTGCCTTTTGCGTGCATCTCTTCACAACGACAGAGAATGTACAAAACAGATTGCTACAGTTGAACCTGAAGACGTTTGCTCTGGAGCTGCTGTACACCTCCACAGCGACAGCGGCATCGACGCAGCCACAGGTGCAGTGCCAGCAGGAACCCGTCCCTCGAATCGACGCAGCGTTCACTGCTTCAGCGGATGGGAATTCGTTATACTTGTTTGGTGGCAAAGACAGCAGCGACCAAGGGATTAGCTTGAGGGATATGTGGAGCTTTGAAGTTAAGGAAAAGAGATGGAACTTAATTAAGCCCGCAGGGGGTTGGCCAGACTTTCCAGGAAGCAATGCGTGAGTACTTGGCGTTTCATGCTTTCTTTACACACCAACTTCTATGCTCCATCTTCGTGCTCCTCTCTCGCGAAGCTTCTTAGGGATCTATCAGTATCTCTCCCCGCGTATTTCCTATCGCTCCGGACAAGCTTTTCTCAGCCTGTCTCTATACACTTCGCAAACTGCATATCCTTTAGTTTGTTCATCGCTGTCCCCAGTAGCTCTTAGTGGGGCAGTTGAGGCTCTGTGCAGTTGCCTCTTCCCCTGTGCCCATGCCATTTTGCTCGTATTATACTTCCTTCGGACCAGCAGGCTTCCGCAGACTCATTCTTGCCTCATGTTTGTCTCCTTTCAGTGTTTGTCTCTTCTTCTTCCGCGACATTTTGATCCTGTACTGCCCTCCCCCCACTGCAGGTACACTGCTTGCACCTGTCGCTCCGTTGTTGCCTGCGGTAGCAGCCAGGAGAAACACAGTAACGTTGCTTCTGTGCACGTACTGTGCTGCACTAAGGCGAGCCAATATGCGTGCACAGCCTGTAGCATTACCTCATGCGCTTTCGTGTTGTGCCTGCAGCCCTGCTCTGTATCTCTCTGTGGAACCTTCACTGGGCAAACATTTCACTTCCGGAAGCACTCGCCGGCTCAGCATCAAGCAAAGATGCATTCGCCGTGTGCAATCAGGAATACTTTTATGTGTTTTACGGAGGAACAATAACGTCAGATGCTGCCATTTTCGGACAGCAAGCAGGAAAACAGGTGCAAGGCGGAAACAACAGCATCCCTCCCCTGGTGACATCATCGATACATCGGCTGTCACTTGCGTATTTAGAGGAGGCTATCATTAGTTTCACAGAACACACGGGTGATGCTTCCTCGAAAACAGCAGCGGTCTGTGTTGCTGGCGCTCCTGCTCTTGAAGACGGAGACAAGGACTCGCCTTCGGAATCGGTGCAACGACATCAAAGACAGCAGCAACAGCAGCAACAGCAAGCGCTGTTGCAAATGCTTCAGCATCAGGCTCGGAAATTAAGGGTGCAGCAGGTGCCTACTGCTGCTGCGGATTCTCCATTCAGCGCCGAGCAGCAGCTACAGCAACAAGTTCAGCTGCTGCAGCGGGATATGGAAGAACTACGGACTGAACGAAATTTGCTGCGGCAGCAGCTGCAGCAGCGCGAGGACGTCCTCTCAGCCCTATCGATGAAAGTGAGCTGCCGGCGCATGTATTTCGTGTCGTGTCGTTGTTTCGTGGTATATCTCGCCTAACGCATTGAGCGGGCTGCGCACTGCCCCTCCGTGCACAGCGGTTTGCCCTTTCCGGACATTTATGTGCCATCGCTCTTTCCTCTCGGTCGTACTTGCGTTGTAACGGCTGGGTTCTAGTTTAGCTTTTACGGGTACTTTCCTACGCTGATCCTGCCCATCAAGTGAGCGTCAGCTCGCCTACTGTCTTTTTGCTTTCTTCTGCTGTTTGTGGCAGTCCTTTGGGAATCTGACACTCCTGTATGCTCTATGCTACCTTAGTGGTTCACTCCCCGTCGGTCTCTTTGCCGGCCTGTGATGTCGCTGCTGCTAAATATCAGGCCACGGCGGTGCTGCAGCAGCTTCGAGAGGAACGCAGCGCCAGGGAGCTACAGCAGCAGCAGCACGAGCAGCAGCAGCAGCTGCTTCTCCAGCAACTGCGGGCCAGAGATGCGATGCTGCAACAGCAGAAGGAAAAGGTTGAGACATTTGCTGCGACTGTAAGGAGCCTAGGAGCGATGCCGCTCGAGTTCGACAGAGCTCCTCGTTGCTGTTTCCAAGCAGTTTCTTTTCTGGTTGCTTTGTTCATGGTTATCTTCCATGCGTCTTGTTGACGAAAATATGTTTGCCTACATTACTCCCGGATTGTAATATGTGCCATGTTGAGGCTACTATTTCCGGCATAATATTTTGCTCGTTTTGCTGCTATGGTCGTGTCCTCGGGCGTTGGTGCAGGCGCAGCAAGTGCGTCAGTGCTTACTTCTTCTGCTTCGGCAGAAGGAAGGTCATGGCGTTCATTCCACTGGAAGCGACGTAGACGGTAAAGCTAGGGCTTGCAGCGAGGAGCAGCAACAGCAACTGCAGCAGGCGCAACGACAACAGCAGCCCCAGCAACAGCCGCAGCCGAGGGAACTGCTGCACCAACATTCAAATGATCCCCACCAGCAGCAACAACAGCATCAGCAGCAGCATAAACAAAAACTGCAGCAGCAGCAGCAGCAGCTGCAGCAACAAGTAAAGCAACAGCACCATCTGTTGCAACAGCATCCGCTGCAGCAACAGCAAGCAGAACACCAGTCCCAGCAGCAGGCTAGGACAAGTGCCTGGCCGTCCTTCCCACCCGCTGCAGCAGCTGCTGCTGCAGCTGCAAATTCGGCACCCCAAAGGCACCGTCGAAGGCCTCCTGGTAACTCGACTCGCAACAGTGTTCAGCAGCAGCTACAGCAACAGCTACAGCAACAGCAGCAGCAGCAGCAGCTGCAGCAGCAGCATCGAAGGCACCGGAATCCGTTACCATGAACGGGATTTTCAAGCGGTATAGAGGGTTGCCTTTGTATTAAACAGAGAGGACTGTTACCGATGCAGCAGCAGCACCAACAGTAGTTGAACCTGCTGGAAGAAAGCAGCGGAGAAAGCTGAACAGCAGCAGTGTCAATGTGTAATGTGCAGCATCTGCAGCAACAGCAGTAACATCTGAACAAGTAAAAGGTGAAGATTCGCTGGACTAGCTACTTGAGAGGGAGGCAGAGGCGCAGCAGCGGTTCGAGGTGTACAGACACCACAGTAGTGGGAGAGACAGAGTGTTACCGTCCGCAGCTCGCAGCAGGGACAGCAAGAGCCGATATGTGCACCAGCAGGACGAAGCACAGCACTCCTTTGCTGCTAATCCTGATGTTGCTGCTTTGGTGGCTGTTTCTGCAAAGAAGGGTACCCCTCAGGTGCAATTGTGCTGCACAAGTAGCTAGCGGAGCTCCAGAGGAGAGCTGACGCAACAACGTATGAGGATCAGCACATTTGAGTTCCTAGAGCTTGGCATATTAGTTGGCCTTCACTAGTTTTCAAGGACGCAAACGCTTGGCACCGAATATGTGGTGTCGTGCTTATTCGTGCTGCAGTTGTCCACCTTGTCCTTCATGGAAAAGCACTTTCATGCAGTAGCTGCTATCGCAGCTCGAGCAGTAGGAGCGGCACCAGCAGTAGCAGCAGAAGCATTAGAAGCAGCAGCAGCTACCAGACTGCCTGTAAAGACGAGTTGTCGCGTACTCTGCGAAGCAATTCACTTGCTGCAGTTTCTGTATAGCAGGGGTAGCAGCTCCAGGGGAGCAGCTTTAGAGCCCGAGTAGTGGAGGAGTGACAGTTGGTCCCCTTTGTTCATGCAGTGTTCAACTGCATGCCCGCAGACGAAGTAGGGGCCGCAGCAGCAGCTCCCGCTGTTTCATCTACCGGGTGCTGCTGTTGCACTGGTGCTGGGGAAGAGTGGGCGGCATAGGAGAGGTACACAGCCCAAACAAAGTCAAGTAGAGAGTCCCAGGCAGGGCGCATTGCCAGTGGAACGAAACTGAAAAGCACAGACGCATGCAATCACGCCACAGTTATCACGCTTTGTATACCTGTCTAGCAGCAACGGCAGCAGGAACCCTGCTGTACATACATGGGCAATGAAAACGCGGCATCTCTTGCGCATTAAGGTGATGTGAACGTAGCTGTCTTTTACTAGCTCGTTGCACCGGGAGAGGCCCTAAATACTCGCTAATTGTTGGCGCTACTGATACGCCATTGAAGGCATTCAGCCCACCGGAAGTTGATAAGGTCCGACAGGGGCCACACAACAAGGCTAGCGACGTATATTTCTCTGAAATGACATCGCACAGCCTCGTAACCCTCACGGAGTGCAGCACGCAAATTCCCTGGAGGGTCGGAACTGATCCAACACCTCTGATGCTGTTGCTGCTGCTGCCCTTGCTGCTGTTGCTGCTGGTGTTGCTGCACTGTAGTTGGGGCGTCCTTGTCAATAACTTCGTTTTGAATTGTCCTCTGAGAGCCGGGTGAGCCAAGGATCAAGCAAAACTGCTGGTGCTCTTGTTCTTGCTGCTGCCGCTGCTGCTGTCGTCGCTCTGGCGCTAGCAGCAGCTGCTGCTCTAGCCTTTGCTGCTGCACGTAATGCTGTTGTACCTGCTCCTCCTGGGCTGGAAGCTGTTGCTCTTCAAAAAGCCGAGTGAAGCTGAATCTGAGAACTGGTGTGAAAAAAAGAAAAGAAAAAGAACTAAAAGGCATGGCGACTATTTGAACGGCCAGCACCTGATATAAACTCAGCAGCCACAGCAAGCGACTGGCGCGGCTTCCTTGTTGTGTTTGTGCTGCTGCCGCTGCTGCTGCTGCTGCATTTGCTGCTGTATTTGCTGCTGTTGAGGCACCAGAGACTGCAGCAGCTACACGTGCTGCAGCACCAGATCTCCCGGAGCTCGTGACTTTGGGGTTTCCTCTGCTGCTGCTACCACCGCCACCTGCGCTGCTCGTGCTACTGCGCTTCAGTGCAGTATTGTGAGCCAGCATCGCTTCGAGTTTGTGATACATAGGTGTCAGTAGAAGAGCTGCAACAGAGAGGGCGAACACCAAAATGCTTTAGCAGCTAGAGCCTAGGCACTGTAGAAAGGCTAGAAAATGATTGCAATATGTGTCCCTATACTTTTAAAAAAAAGATGGAACATCTGTGGGGAGATGCAGTGAGCAAAAGCATGCTAGACATGCAGAATGGCAGATAACACAAACAGGGGGAAAACAGATAAGTTTGAGAACTTCAGAATTTGCCGAAGAAGAGATAAACGAGGAACTGTCACATGCATAAAATGAAACAAGAGTAAAAGGGACGAGAGCGGGCAGACAGGCACACAGACGAAGGAAACCGGCACGCAGAGCTACTTGAAAAGGTAAACATATGGCTACGGAGCTCAAAGCACAGTCACCACAAACCACACACACACAAGGCAGGGATAGCACAGCAGGCACAGAATTTGACACAACTATGCAACAAGCTGGTTTCACCATTAACTATCACTCCTTCGCAACCGACAGCCAGCGTGCGGCCCGCATCGATCTGCCGCAATGTGCTGCTTAGGGTTGGAGGAACCTGCTCTGCCCCGCAACCTTGCAGCTCTCGTGGAGGCTGCTGCTGCTGCTGCGGGTCCAACTCCTGTTGCGATTGCTGCTGCTGTTTGTGGGCTTGCGTGTGCTGCAGGTGTTGCGCCATGATGTCACTGGCGGAAAATAGTAGCAGCGCAGCAACTGCGTTCAGCAGCACATCTCTCTTTAGCCTGCTGCTGCTCGGAATAGGAGCCCATAGAGCTACAGATATACCCAAAGGCAGCCGAACAATCCGCTCTTTTTCTCTCTCTTTTTGTCTCTCCTTCTGCTTTTGACGACTGCGCCTTCCCACGCGGTGTTGCACTAGCCGCCACAGCCAGGAGTGGCCATCCTTGTGTGCTACTCCCATCCCTGCCGCGGATGTGGGTATTGCTGCTCCAGATACCGGGGCTGAGGTGCCCGAAGACGGGGAACAGGGGCAACTAGGCTCGCCTTGAGGTGCAGCAGCAGAAGCAAATTTAGGAGATAGAGGGCGAGCGGAACACTGATATAACTTTCGCCCGCGATGCTGTTGCTGCAACTGCATGTGCGGCATGGGCAACAGCACATTATGTTCGCGAGTCCTAATAGGACAGCAAGCTAGAAGTAGGCGGCGCCTACTGCCTGGATCATGTCTTGCGACAGCAGCAACAGCAACAGTTGCTACAGGTACTTTGTTTGAAACCTCTCCTACTGCTACCAGTGAGCGGCCTTTTGCAGCCCCTACTGGATTAGCAGCGGCGGCCGCTCCTGCGACCCTGCTGTACGGCCGCAGGCGGCCCCACATCTCACTATGCCGAAGCCTTGCTCAGATGAAGATGCTGAAACGCGCAGCGGCAGCTGCAGCATCTGTTTCTGTTGCCGATGCAGGGCTTGAGAAATGTGTGCGAGACGATCAGCGGAAGCTGGCCGCCGGCGGCGGCCATAAGCTTCTGAGGCTCATCTTTATACGCGTTAGAGGCAAAGTGCGCAGTCCACCACGCGGCAGCAGCACCACCAGCACGTGCTGCTTATCCTCCTAGTGCCTTTGGCAGAACTTTTATCGTCCTTTCCCGCACTTTTCCCACGTTGTGTAAGACCTGCACAGCATGGCCACCTCCCAGCCGCTGCTACAGCATATGCTGAAGCAGTGAAGTTGCAAAGCCACCAAAATGGATATGCACAGTTGAAACAACTATTACCCCTTTCCGCGACTTTTGTATTGCAACGACAGTCCCCCCGCTGGCCTCCCGTGCCCTTGCGGCTGGCGCTGCTGTTGCGTTAAGTGTTACTGGCGCTACCTGTGCAGCTCGCTAATTTCCTGCCCCCAATTATAACTCCTCCGCTGGGTCAGTGTATGTGCAAATGACTCTTGTCGGTATCCAGCCCAGCGTTTAGTACGCAGCAGGAACGCCAGCAACAAGAAAAGGCTGCAGCAGCAGCAGCCGACCGGGGTTGCACTTGCTGTTGACTGGGAAAGGCCCGATCCGCCCTCTCTTCGCTGTGTTACAAAGGAAGTGGAAATGTTTCTTTGCAATGCGCGGTACACTTGTGCACGTGTGGGGCCTGCTGCCGCTGCTGCGGCTGCTGCAGCCGATGAAGCCGATCACTGAATCGTCGCTGAGGGCCCTTCAAGGGACGCTTGGGAGTATGGCAGCAAGAGACAGCAGACGTACTGTGGCACTGAATTAATTTGTTTTTGCTTGTGTAAATAATGGTAGATAATAAAAAAACACCGCAAGTACACAAGCGAATCTATTTCAAGCAGGGAGAGGGTCCCCCTGCAGCTCCCGATGCTCGCTAAGAGGGGTCTGGCCGGGGCCCCAGGGCTCAGTCTCAGGCGTGTATTCAACTTGGGATGAATTTAGCGCCTGCTTCACTAAGAACTGTGGCCATGTGCAGGACGGGGCCACTTCCGCGCCTCGGCACTAGCGCTGTGCAGTCTATATGCAGCACCAGGCCAAGGGCATCAGGACACAACAGACAAGCGGTGGCACATGGATCAGCGGGAGCTCACCCAAAGCCAGAAACGGCAAACATGGCTTTTTCAATAACAGCCACAGTGGCAACACATGATTTTGCGGTCACTACGAGACGCTTCCCTCAATGCCCCTTCCGAAGATCCTGTCGAAGTTTGTGTGACAAGGCTGCTGCTGAGGCCGCTGCTTTTACTTCTGATCGCGCCGAAGCCCAGGATTTATCTTGGATGAGGGCAACTATAACAATCCAGCAGCAGCAGCAACGCAAGCAACGAGCCCTGCGAGTGCTGCAGCAGCAACAACTCGCTTGGGTGCCGCATTGGCCCCACTATCTAAAGGCTTTTGCTGCCCCTCCAGAGTCGGACGCGATAGCAGCATTCGTTGTCGCTACTACAGTGCGAGCAACAGAGACAACAGCTGCGGACAATGCACAACTTCCGGTAGAGGCAACGGCAGGAACAGCCACAGGACGTGCGGACGACAGCGTAGACGCTGCGAACAGAATTGAAAATGCGTATTTAAGAGGAGACTGCAGTTGCCTCGCGGCTGTCGCCGCAGAGCAGCTGCCGCTTCTGGAGCAGCCGCAGCGACGAGGATCGAGCTTGTTGGCCCCTGCGCTGCTGCTCCTGTCTTTGCTGCGCCCCCCGCAGAGAGACCACCGGATACAGCGTGTCGTTGTTGGTGTACGTGAGGCAGTGCAGCAGCAGGAGCAATCGCAGTTACCATCTGCTTTCACGCCTGGCGAATGTGCGGCTCTCATTAGTGCCTTTGGGAATTTGGGTGAGCCAATTTGCGTCCAGAGAGTCTGTAAAGGCATTAGCTGCCGATGCAGCTGATCCTTCGTACACAGCATGCTGGTTCAACTTTGCTGTATGCATATGCTCGAACTTGCCCGTATTTTTGGGTCTCTGCCAAGAAACAGTTTTGTCTACTTTTGCCTTAGAGTAGAGGTTCCCGCTGTAGAATAGAGGTTCCCGCTGTCCGCGTCATTCAATTTCCTTTGCTGTGTCTAAGGCTTCTGTCTTCCTCAGGAATGCCGGCGACAGCAGAGTGCTTCATTCCTTGTCTTGCAGAGTCACCATTGGGGGGCGAAGCTGCAGCTTCACTAGCGCGTCTCCTTGTCTCCATTAGAAGGTGCAGCAAGTTCTCTTCCTCTTCGCTCGATTCCGCTTCTGCTCGTTACTTTTCTTCCCTTTACATCCTGTACCGTGTATTGCCGCTTCTTTGTGGCTCCTACACCCTGGATGTCTCTGCAACTGTCAGCCTGAGAAATCATTTGCCTCTGCATGTCTGTATTCTTCTCAAGGTCGCTTCTATTTTCGTTTTCTAGCCCATTTAATCTTCTGGCAGTCAGTGCTGCTCTCCCCAGCTCTCGTTTTTGTTGCACATTTTTTCTAACGTCTATGAGCGCTTCTTTCTGGACGGATTTTGCGTTGCGTTATTTTCAACGCACGCGTTTAGATCCTTCAGTTAGAAGTGGCTGTGTTTGCATTCTCCCGTGTTTGGTGTCTCTCTCCGTCTTCTCATCTGCACTTATAAATTTTCACATATACTGTAGTTTCAGAAATCTCTTGCTGCGTAGCTGTCTATCTTTAACCTTGCCAATTTGTCCCTTCTTCTTTGTGCACTTTTTCCGCTGGTGCCTGTCTCTCACTGCTCTTCGCTCTTTCTTCCACTATTTGGCTACGGTGGGCTTTGCTGAGGTTTTCATTTGAGCTGCTTCTCTCTTGGCCTCGTTGCTGCTGTCAGGGGCTGTGAGGGAGTCAGTCAGATTCACAGTTGAGGCAGCTCTAAAACGAAGTGTTCTCACTCATCTGCTTCTGTTTCCTGCAGGCAACGTCTGCTGCGGCCACGTGGCTCTGCTGCTGCCCCAGCTTCTGCTGCCACGTTAATTGCTCCCTCTGAAGCATTTCCTTTGCTGCATCGTCTCCTTGAGTGCCCTGACCTCTCTCCTAGAGTGCGTGCACAGTATATCAGCCTTCTCAATTTCCCGTCTTTGCATACTAAATTACCTGCCTTTGTCTCCCGAGTAGTTTGACCTTTTACTGTCTTTTCTTCAGTTTCAGTGTCTTTCGCCGTTCCGTTCTCTATTTGAGTTGGTGCTTTTACTGTTTTACATGGGCGTTTGTCTCCTGCTTAGATTTAACCATTTTTGTTAGGTGTCTGCGGGCGTCAGCTTCCAGTTGCAACATCGTGCTTGCTTTTGAAGCATTCAATTTGCCGCTTTGGTGTGTTACTTGTTGCAGCAGAGGTGTTGTGTGCTCCAAGCGGCAGCCTACGCAGCGTTTTTTCCTCAACAGGTTTCTCTGTTGCTGGTTCCTACGTGCTCAGCGGCACAAGCGGCTGTTTTAGCGAATGCGGATTCGGCAGCAACAGGACGAAGATGTAATGGCAGCATTTCCTCACCTGCCCCTGTTTACCTTGAGACTCTTCCGGTGCAGATTGAAACTACGGATACACCGGAAATATTAGGACTAGCGACTAGAATCACGGCAGCAACTTGCAGAGTCGCAGAAGCTCTCAAAAGTAGCCGCGGAACATCTGGAAATGAAGAGGCGCTATCAATTGAAAGTATATTTCGCTTTGCAGAGGCCCTGATGCTAAGAGACATATCTTTTGTTGCTCAGCTGAACCTGCTTGCTTTGCAACAGCAGCGAATACAGGATTGTCAGAAAGAGCAGGGCCAGCCTCACGAGAAGGACTGGCAGCGGAAGGAACATCAGCCAGTGCATCAGGTGTTCGCTGCGTATAAGAAGGAGTTAGACGAAATTATCGAGCTGTTGCTGAACTCCATATTAAGACAACGAAAAGTTTGGGGCCTGTGTTCGCTGGAAGAGTTGCTTTCTTTCTTCATTGCCCTATTGCGCCTTCTCGGCATTGGCAACCCGGAGAGGCTTGCACTTGCTGCTACACTGACGGGTAGCAGAGGACAGCAAAAGATGCAGCAGCAGGGGGAACAAACGTGGCAGACGTTGGACAAAGAACCGCTCGGAAATAATGTGTATGCTGGCTTGAGTAAGCGCCTTCAAGTGCAGCTGGTGTTTGTGCTGCTGTTCATGCTGTTTCCGTGCCATTTTGATACTCTCTGCATTTGCCCTTGTTATCAGGAGACTTATGGCTTCATCTGTCGGACAGCAGCAGCAAAAGCAAGAGGAGCAGAAGCCTGACAGCAGCCGCTTTGCATCTGCGCGCTGTTGCTCTGCTCTGTAGCAGCACAGAGACCTTAGATCTTATGCCTCCTACTGAGGTGCCTTGTGGCGTCGCAGCAGCAGCTGCTGCTGCTGCTTCCCCGGCAACTTCTTTTGGGGTAGATATGGAGGGGTGGGGACAACAGCAACTGTTGCAGTGGCAGCTAACCGCAGCGGCGGACTTTACTCCTACCCCAGTGGCTGCAACGGAGCAACAACAGCGCTTCGATACTTACGTCTACCTGGCACAGCAGAAGCAGCGTGCTGCTCAGCTCCAAGCTAAGACTGCAGTCTTGCTGCTGCGCCCCGCCACAACTGCAGAGGACGTGGTTGCTTCTGAAGCAACTAGCTCAGCCGACACACCAACAGTAGCAAAAGCGGCAAGGCAGACAGCAGGAGCAACAGCATTGCCCGATGAACAAGCAGTGGCAACGGTATCCCCTCCAGACGAAGCTGGACTTCGCTTGCCTGCGCTGCTAAGAGAAGCTACGGAGTCGATTTTCCGCTTCTCCACATCTGTCTCCCCAGTTGCATTGCTCGTGCTGCGGAGTCTTATTGCACTCAATAGGTGAGTTATACGGCCTACAGGCACATGAATGTGTCTTTCATTGTAAATGCGCATTAGCTGCTGGTGTGGTGTCACCAAGAGCGGCCAGAGAAACCTCATGAGCGTCCAGAATAGAACCACCATCAGCAGCAACCCCAATGCAGTCGGGATGCCGATAGGGCGCGCGAGCGGTTTTTTCCTCCTCACACACCGGGCTGAGTTTTCTTGTGCCTTCGTTAATGTGTCTCTGCATAGCCTGCAAATACAGAGCCGTGCTCCGCTCTCTATTCTGCAGCAGCTTACAGAAGCATGGGAGCTGCTTCTTACCTGCAGCAGTGATGAAATTCTGCCGCAACAGAAGGCGGCGACAGCAGCAGCAGCAACCTTTCGGGCTTTTGCTCTTCTGCACCTCTACAGAAGCATGCAGTGGCAGAAGCTCGCGTTGCTTAAAGAGCTTCAGCAACGGCAACAAGACTGTTTGAAACACGATCAACAGAAGCACGACGTGGAACAGCGGTTGCAGCAAGAAGAAAGGCTGCGGCATTCTATAAGACAGTTACGCCGGTCTATGTTTTCTGTCCGTTGGCAGCAAATTACGCTCTTGGACTCGCTGCGTAATTTGCACTGCGAGGGACGGCCACCGAAAGAGGCTGCTGCAATTCTCGTGGCGCTTGCCGCTGTCAGCATTCCCACGTAGTCTTATTGTGTTCTGCGGCATATGTTTGTGCAGCATTGATTCCGTAACTTTACTTGGATGCGTTGTCACATCATTCTTCGTTTATTTTCTGCAGTTCCGTTTTTTCTTGTCGGACTGCCTCTTAGTGCTTCATTTTCTCCTCGTCCCTGAGGATTCCAACTTGGCCTGTATGCACTTCTTCATGCGTTTGCTTTTGTTATTTGTCTGTTGTACATGCCTCTTGCTAGCTCCTTTAGCATTTGCTTTGTCATTTTATCGTATTCAGCTCTGCCTACCGTTCCATATCTCTCCTTTCACCGTTTCTTTCTTACTTATACGTGTATATCTGTCCTTCCCACTACGATGCCTTAGGGTTCGTTGCTACGCCGAGCGCATATTAAAGTGTTAACACCGTCACTTCTGGAGGGACTCCAGGGCAATCAGCAGCAACAAGAGCAGCCGCTGCTACACCAAAAGGAAACGACAGCAGCAGTTATCTCTTTGCTTACTCTTAAGTGCCTTCTTCCAGAAGGATCCGTCCCGGAGGAGTTACTTATGTATGTGCTGCATGCGGCTAGGGATGCCGCAGTGGCGCTGCAGCCACGAGAAATTGCTGTGGCCCTGTACAGCCTGCGGCCGCAGACTCACAAAGGGCTGAGCTCGCAGGCGCTGCTCCCCTTGCAGGACTTGCGGAGGCGATTGCTGCAGCAGTCAGCATTCCTTTTGCCTTATTTTCTGCCTGAGGATCTTCTTGTTTTTCTGGCGTCTGTGGAAGATGCTCCTCCGGAGCTGATGCGACAAGCTTTTGGGTTTATGTATACAGCAGTCTCTTATTACACTCCCCAGCAATTAGCATCAGTAAGCCATTACTTACTCCATTGCCTTCTACGCCGAGCTTTTGCATGGTTGCGCCTGAACCCATTGTTTCAACACCAACTGGTGCCCCTGCTGCCGTTGCTGTTGCATTTTGTAGTGGATTTTGCCGTCACATCTGCAGCGCAGTCTGCGTAGCGTTTGACGCCTTCCCTTTGTATTCTCAGGCATTCATTCTCTTTTGCAAAAGTAATGTTCGCGACGCATGTCTCCGTCTTCGACTACTACTTCAACTCCTAGCTTATGTTGATGCCCTGTCTCCAACGGTCAGCACTTGCATTGTTTCATCACAAATTCAAGCTCATAAAATGGCGAATTCTCCTTTTACCTCCATATATATATTTGTTAAGCTCATACAGTGACGAATTCTCCTTTCACTTCTGTGTTTGTGAAGCTGCTGCTTTGAAGCTGATTCAAATGGATGTTTTTCGCCAAGTGTTTGAAGCATGCAGAAGGCATGCTTAGTCTTATGGCTTCGTGTGCCTCTATGCGCAGTCGCTGTGGGGAGTGGCAGAGGCCCTCGCAGGCACAGATTTGTTCGGTGGTATGCCGCGCCAGCCGCCACCGGCATACGTGACCTGGACATTGGACATGGAACAGGGAGAAGAAGCAAAACCAAGAAGAGAGAGGAGCACGGCACAGACTACTGAAGAAGCAGGAAACGGCCACGAGGCCTCCCTGCAGCAGGAGTGGGCGAAAGAGCTAGTACAGGCTATTTTCAGCCGTTCTGTTGGCATTCTTTCTGGTTCGACGTGGCACTACGGCACTGCAGCAGCAGCAGCAGCGGCAGCTGCTACTGCACGCCTTCTGTGCTGTTGCGCCGCACTTCCAGTAACAGAAGAGCACCAGAAGATACTGAAGAGCATTCTGATGCAGCCGCCACCGGGGCAGTTCCATATTAAGCAACAGATGATGCCTGCAAAGACAACAAAGTCGCAGCCTCGTCGACCAACTGCACGCCTATTGTGGATGTTGAAGCCGAGGCTGCTTCTGCAGTTGCTGCTAGTCGAGCTGCATCAATGGCAGCTGCAGCAGCACGAGAAAGCCAGAGATTTTGTCTTTGGTGGAACTCTTTGTGGGGCGCTGAGAAGACATCTACAGGAGCTTAGCAGTGCGCTCAGTGCATATGTTGTGTTGCTGAGCCACTCTATTTGCTGCTTGCTTGCTGTGCTTTTTGGCTCCTTGATGTTTCTTCTGCCTTTTGCTGTTTCTCAGTTGCCTTCTGTCGTTATAACTGGGTATATTTGCCTGTGGATGCCACGTGCTCATGTCGTTCTTTGCATGCATTGCTTCAAGGTACTAGACTGCGAGTCGTGCCTCTTCTCTTGTCGTTTCTCCGTGCTTTCCACAGCCGAAGATCTGCTGTCTCTTTTGGTTGCATTGCATGCGACCGGGTTGCCTCCTCGACAAGGTAAAGCTGCAAGGGGCACGGCTGAACTTTGTTTTGGAGCTGTTGCTGCTGTTGCACTTGCTATAGCACTAAGCGCTTTCTCTATGACTCGCTATATGTGTTGTTGCTGGTGATGCTGATGTTCAGGACTGCGCAGAGAGCAGCTGGCCTCAAAAGGCTATCTGCCGCTCCGGTTTTGTTGGAAGCTGGGCAGTCTCTTGAAAAGGGACATAAATAACTACAAAATATGCATGCATACTTTGTCTGCGAATGCATTAGCCCTTGTACGCCCTGCAGGCAACCATATTCCCTTCCATGTATCTGCTTTGACCCTAACCGCCTGTAGCCACTAGCTGGAGTAATATATGTTTTGTTACCGCATCCATTCTTGTTCATGCTGATGTTGCTTGCCTTGCAGCATTTCCTTGGTGTCTGGACGCGGCTATCGGCAAGGACGCAAGCAGCTATACTTGCACGGTTGGAAGAGCACGACCGGAGGAGACTCCCACTGCCGCCCGCAACAGAGCGCACGGTCCGTTTCCCTTCCTGATGCAGCAGCATAACTGCTAAAGCTGTTGAAGTTACTGGCCATACCAACCCCAAGGCCGCTGGTTGCTCTTACACTAACTTCGTTTTTTCGTCATACATTTATGGTTCGTACTCGGTGGATCTGTCAATTGTCTGTTCTTTGTGTGAAATGTTGCTGCAACTGTCATGACTGCTGATGTGCCGCTATGAACGCAGCGCACAACACCCTCACGACTGCGCGTAAAGAATCTGGCTCTTGTGAAGCCAACAGATAGAACACCAGGAGCTCCTTCCCTGCTGCTGGTACAGCAGCAGCTGCAGCCAAGGCAGTTGCATACCCTTGTTGCTGCGTCTGCTATTTTTTGGAGGATGGAAAAGAATCTTCATGGCAATGCAATAAGTCGTAGGGTTTTCCGCTGGCACTGCAATGACTATGCTTTAAAGTTTCAGCGTGTGCTCCTCATTTCTTATGCTTTTCTCCCTGCAGGTGCCTGGGGAGAAGGACGAATTGAAGGCGCCGATGCCCATGTCCCCCACCAAAACAGCAATAGAGCTGTTTAAGGAGGTGGTCAGTCGCTCATAGCTCTGTTGCAGCCCCAGAAGAAGCTCGTGAATAGTAAAAGCTGCAGAACAGGTAAAATGGCGACGCCAGCAATGCACATCTGCTGCACCTGCCGCACCTGCAAGCTGCAGGAAGATTTTTTTTGTTTCTGGCCATAGCACAGACCTGCTGGAGGGCCTTGTAGCATTAAAGCTGTGGTAGCGCCACCTTTGACGTGGCTGCGTCTTGCTCTCCTAATATCCACCTCAGCAGCGTAGTCGAGCATTCTGACGACGTTGCTGAGGTGGACCGGCCTGGTGCAGGCAGGTGTCACATTCAGGACCCGTTCTGTATCATTTTCTACTTATGGCCGCCATTCGAGCATATGCTATGAGACTTCGGAAGAAATCGGGCATGCAAACACTCTTGCGCCCAATTGTTTGCACTCACTACAGTGAGAACAGAATGCATGCGAAGCTCTTTCTAGTGAAGGCTGCTGTTGGGTTTCCAGGCTGTAGACGAAAGCTCCGTGGTGCTCTGAGTACCACTACATGCAACACAAGCGGGATTTAACATGAAAAACAATCCGATTAAAATTTCGAGACAGCACTATACTTTAGGGGGTGTCATTATGCTAGTACTCCAATTTTCAACTAACCTAGTCGTGGAAAAAATAATGAAATGCAGGTGCTTAATTAAGAGACAATACGGAAGTGGCTTGCAGATGTGACGCCACTTAGTAGCAGTTAACGACGAAGCACCCTCCAGCCTTCAGACCAGGTGCCATTTTACTTGCGGGAGGCATTGCTTGTGTATGTGGCTTTCATGTGCACCGCGCAGCCAGCTGTCACCCTCGAAACGGACCTAGCTTGCAATCCTAAGCAGACCTTTGCATGGTGCAAGCTCCCTAGTCCCAACCATCTCTGCTTCGCAAAGGAATTTGAGGGTACCAAATCTTCTCTGTTTTAGGCTCCACATTTAGCATTCTTTAGTTACCACAATATACTCAAGATGTTTTCATCTCGTATCGCATTGCATTCGTGAGCCGGCGTGCGACTCAAGTAGCTAGAGTCACACGCTAGCGCACACTCTCAACAGGCAGTAAATATAGTGTTTCGCACCGAGAAAATGGCTCTGAAAGGCCATAGGGGTCAATAACCACGCTGTCGATCCGATTTAGCAATAGAGTAGGTAAATGGCTGTTATGTAGCCAAAAGCTCTGAGAATCGCTAGCACCAACGATGCCTCTAGCCAGGCGCGGCGTTTGGGTGCAGCGACCCTGTAGCTAGCAGGGAGTCTGTGCACGGCGTGGGGTCAGGATTATGCGACCAGAGCCCAGTTAATTCCTGCTGTCCTTTAAACTACACAGTTGTCAGTTGTCGTACAGTAAGGTTTTACCTCTGCCCAGCTTTCCTCCCCTTTGCATGTGATGCAGAGAAGTGTGTAAGATAGTTGCCGATAACAAGATACGCTGGGGCTAGACCAGCGTTCGCGCTTTAAACTTGAAGATTGCTCCAGTGTTTGTGAAAGCTGTACCTTTCCAGCCAGCCTGCTAATATTTTCCCGGACGCACTATGCAGACCTCAAGAAAACAGAAGCTGTGCCTTCAAATTCGGATATGCGCAATCACACCGGACGGCTAATAAGAGCACCAAGAGAGCACATATGAGAGATCTCTATGCAACGGGCATCCTGGAGAAAGCCCCAAAGTAGGGGAACCAAAAAGCGAAGCTACTTAATCGTTTATATTACATAAGAACGGGTAGGTAACCCTTTGCCCCCTAATTCCAGGAAGGGTGACAGAGCTGTAAACCAATTATGTGTCATTCAACAACTTAGCGCCGAGGTGGAGCGCCTACTGGAAACTGTCACTTCCAAGAGGTTTCTCTCCAACGTTCTGCTTGCCAGCGGCTTCTAAAGCGCGAAGCTGAGAGTGCCATGGTGACCTCTGAGGGGCTTGTGAAGGCACTGTTCGCTGGCATGAGGGAAAACATGCCTAAAGAAGCTGCTGGCGATGGAGCTGGGAGCTAGCGCGTTCCTGTTGATATCCTGCTCTAGCACAGCAGTAGTATCATAGGGAAATTATCGACATGAGCAGGCAGTGTAGATACAGGGGTCCCATTGTCGATTTTGCAAACTCTCACGAATTGCATTTCTAGACGATCTGGCTTGAATCGAATAACAAAGTACAATTCTCAGCTCAGGTACAGTGAGGTCTTACTGGAGGAGGAAATCACAGCCCCTAATATGCAAAAATCACCAGTGATTTACGTATGTAAAGCGTGAAGGCCCAAATAGTATAAGACTCCTTTTGGGGGAGGCGGCAGAAGTTCTTGATCTCATCCGTTCGCCAAAGTTGGCCATTACAGCTAGGCTATAATTTTCCAACACATAACATGGGACAAAGACCTACGCGACATTCAAGAGAGTGAGAGGCTGCAGCGGCTAAAGAGCAAAGCAATGCGTCAGACGAAACGAAAGCGAAGTTTCGAGAGAGAACACAAGCAAGTTGTGGATGCCACGGGTGAAGAGCTCAATCACAAGAGTACTTCAGCAGAGGAAGGAAAAAACAAGATAGTGGGAGCGTGCAAGAGTTGTGTTGGAACTGTGGACTCTGCATGGGGCCGACATACGCCTAGCAGACTTTAAAAAAGAGATAAGCGGAGTCTAAAAAACCCAACAGACTGCTCGCCGACAGGGCACTACAGAGCGTACAAGTGAACAAGCCTAGACATTGCTGGAGAAGAGCACGTTAGGCGCCGATGCATGGAGAAAATCTTCCGTGCGCAGGCGCGATAGGCGTCAATGCTATAGAAGGCTCCTCAATTATGAGTAAGAGGTTACAGTTGCCAGGAAATGGGCAAGATCTGCACCCTGAGGAGTCAGGCGGTCCCCTTAAGCGGCAACAAAGAGCGTAGCGAGACTCCAAACAGAAGATAAGAACGTCTCCTAGGTTGCGGGGGAGACGGCGATGGCAGCAATGTCGAAGTCAGAAGCAGAGCGAAGCCAGAAATCAGCCCACGCAGAACTGTAAGTTTTGTGCTGTGAAGCTGTGCTCGTATCGCAAGATGTGTGGAGAGCCCGCCAGTGGGTTCCCGGGTGTGCTGTATAGGGTCGCCACGGCGGCAGTGAACCAAGCTGGTATTTTTTGGGGCGCACCTGTAAAGCGTCAATGGATGCTGATGCATCTCGTAGCACTTTCGGCCCCGTAGCCTCATGCGGGTGCCATGGCTAAGGTGCAAATCAGGGAGATCATTCAGCAAAGCGCAAACGCCGTTCATGTTAATGACCTGCTCCGTTGTAAAGACTTACTCTCTTGCTAAGTTCGCATGCAGTGAACGCTCGAGTCAACTTTTGATTTTGTGAAGAACAGCAGAGAGCAAAGCTATCACGGCTCATAGAACACAAGAGGACAGCCATACAAAAGCCGAGCGTGGAGGACCCACAGTTACGAAGTCAACAGAAGACGACACGGACTGACACCAGACTTCCTGACACTCGGTTTGATCAATGCTTGCTGCAGTAGAAGCGCAGGGTAACTGTAGTGTGCAGGCACTGCAATAGGGCTTGGTGGTGACCTTAAGAGGGTGGCTGGCAAGTGACACATAGTAAGAGGTTAAGACGCTGAACGGGCGCAGACACTTCTTACTAGTAACAAATTAAGGCAATTTGCGAGCATGAGTAAACTAGAAGTGTTTCTGAATACCCTAAGATTGGGGCTGGCGATAACGTCGGCTTCGGTGCAAGCCCGAACCGGGTGAATAAAGCAAGAACTACGAGGAACACCTGATTTAGAAAGTGAATTATGACTGTTTTTTCATTAATAATTTGGTATTGTTTATGAGAACTGTGTTGATTGTGGAGAATTTGTCGAAAGGGCGCCTTATTCGTGGGCCAGGAACGTAGTAGCAGCAGAAGAACGCTGCGCAGTACATTTGGGGGCTGTTCCGGGATACAAATTTTTCTTTTCCGGAGCTAAGAGTACAAAAAATTTGCCCTAATGGTACACACCTAGACAGCTTAGCTCGGTATGGGATGCACGTACGCAACGGACGCGGTATCGGCCCCACTCAACAGGAGAGGTCTACAATGTCCGTAAGCAAAATGCCCAGCTGGACGCCAGCCCACCATCGTCATACTACTTCGGAACCCACCGTGGCAGAGCGGCTGCACGGGCGTAAGGAGGCGTACCCACAGGTGGCACCTATAACCAACGTTGCCGGCCCGCCAGGGAACAGTCCGTACGTTACGTGGGACCAACCCCACTCCGCGATCGCTACGATGAGGAATGTTATGGGCGGGCCCTGCGAATCGGGCGCAACGTTCCCATGCTTTCTGAAGACGGCAGCACTATGCAAGCCTTTTTGCTGCGCATCGAAAGACGGTATACCCAGATGGGATTGGAGCCCTGCGACTGGGGGAGAGCAGTAATTGACCACATTGTTGGCCCGGCTCTAACTTATTGGATGTACCTACGGCGAACTATCGGCCTAAGTGACTGCGCGACTGGGCGACGGTCAAGCGCCGGCTTTTGGAACGGTTCGACAAAACAATGTCGCAGAGCCAATTTTTGACGGAGTTGGCCAAGGTACGGTGGAATGGCAACCCTAAGGAATACACGGACCAGTTTGCAGCTGTAGCGGAGCGTGGAGTGGGTCTCACTCCCGAGGAACTCGCTGACTATTACTGCACCGGGCTACCAACGAACCTACATCTTCTCATGACCAATAACAGGTAGGTGAAGTATCCCTATTGGGAACAAGCGGCGAAAGCCGCAGCGCGACTCTACGAGCCTAAGCAGACCGTGCTAGAGCAACGAGAAAGAATCAGCCGAGCCATCAGAGCTGCCGCCCAGGCAAATGGACCCGGTAGGAACAAGGAGAACAAAAAGCAGCCTGGGGCAAACCGCGGAAACAACGAGTGTTAGGGTCGAGGATACCCAGCACGCGCTTGTCCCAGCAAGGGAGAACGTACCAAGCGTCCGGGGGAGACCTGTAAGAAGTGTGGCAGTGTGGGACACTATGCTCGGGACTGTCCTACATACGGCCGAGGCACGAGTGAGCCGGAGGGCAAAAGCAGTAGAAAGCCCACTCTTCTCAGTACTGAGAGGACTGAACGTTTAAACGACAAGGCTTCGCTCAGTAGCAAGCATATACCGGCTTTGAAGAGCTGCCCTAAGTTGGAGCCCCGTTGCCGAGGACCCTTTGGAGTCATCGAGCGTATAGGGACCGTCACTTACCGTCTCGCTTTGCCTCTCACCTATGAATGCCACAACGTTTTCCATGTTTCGCAGTTAGTTACCCATTGCCCCCTCCTCCCTGACTTGGTTCCCCAGGGAGCCGACCCCGGCTGGCTCCCCATCCGCAATGCGGCAGGCAATCCAACAGAGGATTATGAGGAAAATTTTATCATGGGCCAGCGCGGCTCAGCAGCCGACGTCCCAGGACCTCGTCAAGTGGCGCGGAACCCCTGAAGGTCAAGCCACATGGGAGCCCGCTCACCACCAGGATGCCCGGCTTTGCTTCGTGATTGGCACCGCCAACGTGGAAGACGTCTCCAGGCTCGAAACCCTCTTGCTCCTTTCGAGGCGTAGCGGTTTGGGTCCGTCAGCTTCCGCCGCTCGCAGGGTTGGCAGCCTTCCATAATGAGGTGGGAGGGAGCGTTACGCACCGCATGCGCTCATGGCATCAGCGTTAGAAGAGAATAGACACTGAAGAAGCAGAAATAACGTGTTCTGGCCAGACTGGTCCAGTCCCTCAAGGGGGGAACTTGTAGTGCGCAGGTACTACAATAGGGCTTACTGGTGACCTTTAGAGGGCTAGCGGGCGATATATAAGAGGTTAAGTTGCTGGACGAGCGCAGAAACTTCTTACTAGTAAAGAAGCAAAACAATTTACCAGCAGAATAGCATGTATAAACTAGAAGTGTCTGTGAATCCCCCAAGTTTGGGGCTGGCGACAACGCCGGCACCGTTGCGGGTTAGCGCCCCAGCCAGCCTAAGACGGCGAGAAATATGAGGGCGCAGCTTCTAATAAAATCGGATTGAGAACTTGAAAGATGATTTTTTTTATTTCTAATTTGGTATTTTTATGAGAAATGTGTCGAATATAGAGAAATAGTCAGAAGGTCGCCCCATTCGTGGACCAGGTTGTAACGTAGGAGCAGCAGAGAACGCTGCGCAAAGCACCTACAACATCTCGCAAAGCACGCATCAACAGTTGCTTCAGAAACTGTAAGCCGTTTTGTTCCACACGCACAGATTTTGGCTTGAGGAATGTGCCAGACGTTCCGCAAGCCTTACAGCGCTGCAGCTGAAAGGCAGAGTGAAGCCTCCGGTGTTGAGTTCCGCAATTGCCCTGTTACTTGGCCTTTGGGATTGCCTTCCCTGCATATTTGTGTTTAAGGCGTCTAGGTATTTTGTGTACGACAATTTTTCTCACTTCTGACTCAAGTGTGACAGTTGACTATCGCAGCCAAAAGAAGACCTCCCTAGCACTGAGCAAGCATCCTTTTTGGCCGGTCAGGCGTGCCTTTAGCATGGCATACGTTGTGACTCTGAGTAAGTCAGAATTGTTGGGTATACTGGCTGATCTGTCTCTCTTTATTTTCGGCAATGATCCCATTTTGGCTGGCCCAGCCCCTACCTTGCAGTACTGTAGAGTCGGAGGCATCGCCAAAGTAGACACCAGGAGGGCGCCTGCAATCCGAAACCACTTGCTCTTTCGACATCACCGAAGCTCTTTCTTTTCTCCTACTTCTTTTAACACCAAGCTTGACTGCTTTCCTGTATAAGCCCTGTATTGCGCAGCGCCTTCTGCTGCGACTACCCTGCCCACGAATAAGGCGCCCTTTGAAAAACCTTCTACCTTCGATCCATGTCTCATGAAACATATACCAAAATATCAATAATGGCAGTCATATTTCAAGTTCTAAAATGGATTTCTCGTAAAGGTCCACCCCACTGAGGGTTTCTGCTTTCTTGACCTTGTGGGGCGATGGCCCGCATGTAGTGCGCGGCGCCTACTGCTGCGACTACGCTGTTTCCTGTCCCCCTGTCCCTCTACAGGTCTACATACTACACCTAGATTAGCCCCATTTCTCGGTCTTTACAGCTTTATTCCGTCGAAATACGACAATTCAAGAAGTGTCTGTGTTCTCTGTCTTCGATTCGCTCCCTTCTTGGAGCTTACCCCCTAGACCTAGGGGGGAGGTCCGCATTGGTGCCGGCTCGATCGCCAGCCCCCGTCCCCAC